TTGCTAAACCTCTTGACATTCCGATTCTAGAATGTCTTGAAACCATATTTGAAGATCAATTTGAAGTTATATACCGATTAGTGAAACCTGTGAATGAAAATAATAATGAAATATTAAATAAGAATGAGATATTATTTGATAATCGAACAACATATTATCCCTTTTTAAATGATAGTGAAAACTTAAAGAAGAGGCAAGTAGGTACTCATAACGACCATGGTAATAGTAATGGTAATGGTAATAGTAGTAATAATGATCATAGTGATAATAATGTCAATGAAGGTAGTAATAGTGATAACAATAACAGTGGAGATGGTGGAGATGATGACAATAATTATAATAGTGATGTTAAAAGTAATAACAGAAACGGCGATAACAATATTGATGGTGATGGTGATAATGGTAATGGAAAAGAAAATAAGATTTATGTTTTTTCTAGAGCATGTGCTAAAGCTGTAGATCTTGATATCTTTCAAGATTTTAACATTTCTGCTAGCTTTTGGGCAAAAACATCGCCATTTGAAAAGGAAGTTGGAATTCTAGAGTATGATATTAATGTAATTGCTTGTGGAATAGGAGAAATGCTTAGTAATAATTGGCCAGCACTTAAAAGATTAGGTATTGGTTATTTTCTTCATTCTACCGAAGTTCATGTTTCTCCAACGCCTGATATTATGAGTAATTTATTTTGGTTAAAAGGCATTTCACAACCAACTCAATCAAATCGAAAAGTTGAATTTTCAACAGGTAGTGAAAAAGTCATAAATGGACAAGTTGGAACATCGAGCTGTGGTATAACAGGTGGTATAAAAAAGGTTCATAATACCAAATTCTCATCAAATGAATGGAAATTATCTTATAAAGGTCCTAATATTAAGGGGGAGAGTTGGTCATATGAATTCGTTGATATAGATGGCAGCAATAGAGAAAGTTTTTCCCCCGGAACTCATTCTGGTCAATGGTTTATCATGAAAGAAATGCAAGGATTTTGTGTCACTATTACACAAGTATTATGCTGTGAAATCACCCATGATTGGCGCAGATTCATTCCAAATACAAAATTTCAGTTACTAAAACTTTGCCCAAAGATGTGCCATAGTCTTAAAATTACCTTTAACGACCTTAAAGACTTTAATGCAAAATTATCAAAACTCAACCAAACTTGTTATCCTAATACAGAAAACATTATGATTACTCTTGGACGGAATGAAAAAGAAAATATTAACAAAGCTGCAAACCAAAAAATTGAGAATTTAAATGGTGAAATCATGCGCATGTTAAGATTTTGATCATATATGTATTGTTCAACACCGATTATAGAGTACATGTAATTTTACTTTACATAAAATCAGTTTGTAATTGAACAACTTCTAAACGATATCAATGTATAAATATTTAAATTTTTGAGCTTTATTTAAAATGATTAAAATCAGTATTTTTTTATCTTTCACAATTTACGTATGTTGTCTTATTGAAAAGAAAAAAAACTTTATAATTGACTGTAATAATGTCTCTTGAAATTTAATTTTTTTAATGAACTATGTGCAAAGAGAATTGCACTTGAAATATGCGAATGCTTATATAATTTAAAATATTTTCCAAATCATTTCATAAATATTTCACTTGATATATTGAATTCTTAATAACCCTCAATATTTTGAAAAAAAATTAATTGAATCGGAAGCAAGCTTTAGTTTATAAAAGTGTTTTATGAAATTGAACATTTCTGGCTATATTAATTAGTGCCACAAATTCTATCCGCCTTTTCTAACCTATATAACCTTCTTATTTTTTGATATCTATTCAAATCTCACCTTATTTGACAGAAAATCATGTGACGTAAGTAGCATGTTCTAAACGTTCCAAGTAAATGATTCAAGAATAACCTTGTTACGTGTCAAATTATTTACTGAAGTTTAAGACGTACTATGAAACAATAACGTCATTTCAGCCAGCTTAAAGGATGTCAAATATTCAATCAAACTATGTATGGACTCATATAAAAATTTATTAATATAATTGTTCAAAATTAATTGTCGTGAACTGAAATTTCCCTTAAAATTCCTGAATGTTTAAAATTTAATAACTTGCACATTATGATCATAAGATTAACATATAATATCTCGTTTTTGAAAATCCAAAAAATATTTTTCTTTAGATTCTGTGCACTAAGTATCTCTTTTTTAATGATGGAAATGGATATAACATTTATTTTTTAAAGAAAAGCTTACTATATTTTTGCAGAATTTGGGAGGAAATTGTTAGGAAGGATTCAAAGTTATTAAAGTATGTAAATACATCGATTAAGTAAGTAGGTTCTTATCAAATTTATTAACTACAGATAATTATGAATATATCTTTAATAATATGATAATGTATATAGTTGACAGCGTACTCCAATGATACATTAATCCATACAATTCATATGACTAACTATATACATTCTTTAACATTTAGACTCCTTGAAGAATCCAGATTAGTTGACTTTGAAGAGATTCTGGATTGCTTGCTTGCCATTTTATTTCAACTCGTAGTTAAGATCAAGAACGCAAACAATTCCAGTACCTGTCAATTATTATCCTTTCGCCATTTAGATTTAACTTAGCAATAAAGTAAATTTAACCTATTATGTCGATTCGGTTCAACCTCATGTAATAACATTACTTTCAGTCAATGGTAAATTTCATTTGCCCGTTTATAATTTCTTATGCGTTGATGAAACTCATTGGAAATTGAACTTGCTATCACAAGGAATTACAAGATCTCTCTCATTTATGTATCATCAGTCCGATACAAACTTATTTTTTTTTTAAATATAGGCTGACGTTTCTACTCATTATTAGTGTTTGATATTGCTCTACAGAGTTCATGCATTAAATCTATAAACGACACATTCGAATTTCTTTATCTTTTCCGAAGTGCTAAATGTGAAGTCAATTTTTCCAACTTTACATTGAAATTGGTGAAAGCTGGAAATAATTTTCAGATTTTTTTGCTTTGAAATCACAAAACCTTTACGAATTTTTATACTTTTGCGTTCTTTGAAATGTTAAGATTATTAAACAAGCGGAACTTTAGCAGCAACGAACACAAATTAATTCAAATGAAGAGGAAAAGATAATATTATTTCCAAATTATTAAGCCAAACCCTAATCCTATTTTGGCAAAAGTCGAATCCTTCGAAAATATTTCGACGGGTTTTACGGATTTCGATTGTTCGAGGACATAATTTTAAATTATGAATGAATTTAAGAAAAATTCTTCGAACTATTCCTTAAAATAAAAATTAAAATGAAAACCTCAGGTTTTGCCAAGCAACCTTACTAATAAGGCAAATATACAATGTTTTAGTATTCACTTACGAAATCCTAAAGTAACCCATGCCAACAGAGTTTTTCCAAAATTTATTATAATGTTAACAATATTTTGTACCAATTTAGCTAGTATTCATCAACATTTTGATGAAAAATTCCTCAATTATCTCCCTATAAAAAAAAGTTCTAAAAAATTTGATCTAGTTTTGACTCCGAAAAAAAACTCAGATATGTGTAATTTTCTGAAAAATTTTTATAGGAATCCGAGGCATATAAATTTCTGTTATAATAAAGACATCTTTAGAGCTTAAAAGCATCCTTAAGTAAGCTTTATTAATTATAGCATATATTATAAATTAAGGTTTAATTTTATAAAATACTAATCTAATTAAATTGATTTTTATTACAAAATTAAGGTAGGATCAATTCAGTCCGATTTTCATCTCTCTTATGGAACCAATCGGTCCATAAGTCAGTCCTTGGACCTGTCCTAAGTCCGGTCCTGGTCTTAAATTTATTATATTTTAATTCTAGACCGATTCATAAGTCTGGTCCTTTAGCCGATGTTTTATAACTTATATTACAGTAACATTTATGCATTTTACTGAAACGATTATGAAAATGTCAGAAATGTCGGAAATAGAGCAATAAAGAGATAAGAGGGCGTAGTATTCGTTTTGTACGGAATTATTATTTATTGTACATTTTATATTTATGATTACAATTATTTTTATTAAATTTACACAATTTTTATATTTAAATCAAATTGGTAATATTTTATCTAAATATGTTCTAAAACGGTCCTATAAATCGGTTTTGACCAAGAAGAAAACAAATTTTGGACCGGTAGGACCGAATGGTGCAAGACTGGTCCTTGGACTGATGGACCGGTCCATAGAAATATGAAAGACCGGTTTTGGACTGGACCGATTCAACCCTTTCCTTAAGAAAAGCAATAGAAACGTGAAAATGATTTTAAATAATGATGAATTTGTCCGAGACGATATTCCTCGAGGTATAGTATTACTGACTGGCTGTTAATATGTAAATTAAATACTTGCAAAATGATTTATTTAAGTATTAGATAGGAAGACAAATTATTATTGACATTGTCGGAAATATCGTCGAGATTTCATTTTAGGTAATTTAAAAGATTTAATTTTTTTTTAATCCTCTGTTACCGATGTTAGTGATAATCCGTTTGCGTCACTAAATGACTGCGCCAACTAATGTCACCAATGATCACCAGGAAAATCGTGATCATCATTTTCACTAATTTTACTGCTATCACGGTTATCGTTGTGATATTTATTTTCTTTATTATTATGTTTATCATTATTTTATTTATTATATTTATTTTC